AACAACTTTGTGAGACGTTATAACATTTTTACTCACACAAATGAACAGAAAAATCTCTTTCTCATTTAAATAAAGAAAAACAGTCAAGAGGGTTGGAAGGTCTAATTTCATTAATGAGTTTTTTAAGTTAATCATATTTTTGTGAATCAATTCTAATTGTGAATAAAATAATAATTTGCATTTTTAATAAGAAGAAACCAAATTGCATTTTTTTTTACAAATATTCAATTTTCAGTTGTTTATTATTTCATTTGATTTTAAATATTAAATTATAGATTTTGTTCTTTTTTTTTTGAAGTATAATAAAATGGTTTTCAAAGACTAATTTTAATTAAAATGATAAAATAACATCATGAAACTATATTTTATGATATTTTAATATACTTTATAATATAAAAATATTAATTTATTTCGATCTAATATCCACAATAAATATGTAATTAATTATATAATATGTTTTTAAATTATATTTGCAATATACTATATATTATAAATTTATTATAGTAATGAAATTATAAAGAGTGTTTTTGTTAATTAATAATTATAAATACAAGCACTTAAAACCCGATAATAATTATCGAGTCAACAACATCATTTTAGTCCAAATTTTAATTCATAACTTTGTTATTTGTATCAATAAAAATGCTTTTTCGTCGCATTCCTCTTTTTAATTTTTTTCATTTTATTAAAAAAAGAATCAACCTTTATTATTTTTAAATTATAATTATAATAACAGTTTTCACTTTAAATACCAGGTGATAAATATGTTTTCAATAGTACATAATAATATAGAGACACTCATCATAATGAATAAAAATTATATGTATTTAAAAAGTTGTTTACATGACACATGAATTAAATATTTAACACTTTTTTGTTGTTCTGGTGTTTATTTACACAACTTTATTACTGGTCAATATTAAAAATTGACTATTATTTGATATAAAGTTGTTATTATCTTGATGTACATGTTACAATCTATCGCCGATACGTGTTGTTAATCCATTTTTAAATATCTTTTTTTATAAAATGCTTGTCACTTACATTACATATACACATCAACTTATTTTAAACATTCATTCTAATTTACATAATGTGTGTTTTTTGTACAAAATCATTTATCATATATTGTTTGGCTTGTTAAACCAAACACAATCCGTTTGTATTATAAACTCGGTATCTTAGTCTGCACGCAAAAATAACATTCAACAACTTCTTTATATCTTTGGTGTTGTCTTTCTAAAATTTTTGTGTTTGTTCTACAATTGTTTTTGTTTATTATCGATTTGATATACTGTCTAACATATTTTATTAATTATTTATCAAGACCTCCATTATTTTCAACTGTTAATGTTTTTATGTTTTTATCACACCTTATCGAAATATGATATATATGTTAAACGTATAACACATTAAAGTATATAAAAGTTTTCATTATAATACCATTACTTCTAATACCTTTTTATTTCTTATTAGTAAATTTAATCTCATTTAAATAACAAATATGTTTTTCTGGTTTTTAACTATTTTATTATTTAACCTCTTTTTTTAATTTCAAAAACTTGTTTGTCTGTCTGTTTGTTTATACAATTACTATTTAAAACAATAATTAATTCATCAAAAAAAGAGATAATTTATTTAAAATTTTATCTTTTCTTAAGGAACTAAACTTTAATAAAACGATAGTTAGTAAAAATTAACTATCGTTCGTATTGAAAAATCATCACATTTTATTATTAAGATTAGTAAAAATAATTATATTTATAGTATATTGCTTATTAATAAAATACTATTAAGAAGCGCAAGAATAACGTACAACTGAAATAAATAAATAAATAAATATATGCGTTAGACAAAGATATATATGTAGATAGATGTAGATATGTAGATAATATTTATTAATAGATCATTAAAAAACAATTAAAACTCGATTATAATAAAAATAATAATTACCCCAATCTATATTTTAGCTCTCTTATTTTTGGTTTGTGATAGTATTTTTTTTAACTAATAATCATAATTAAAAAACTATAATATTTAGTTCAATTAGATAAAGTGTTAAAACAATTATGGCAAGAACGACGATTTAATTTTCAATTATTGTTTCCAACCCGAAGCTATACAAAAATAGTAAAAAAACAATAAAAAGAACCACTTAAATAACTCACATAAACATTCAGATGCGGTCATTGAAAGGTCTCAGTGAAGTCAAAGCGAAAGTCCCATTACAACGGGTAGAGAATGTAGAGGAGGTCCGACAAAAACTCACTGATGGGCTAACTTTTCTTTCTGCTGAGCAGTCTGTCTTCCAGAAGATCACGAAGGACACTGAGAATCTGTCATTACACATCAACGAATTAGTGGAACTGTACAATGACCCACAAACATATAAATTAATAAATGATAAGCAGATAGCAGCGATACTTACTAGATGTATGTTTTTGTATGGCGAACTTGAGATGTGTAAGAAGAGGCAGTCAGAAGCTATACTCAAATCAGAAGAAGTGACCACCAATTTGCGGCAAACTATAAAGAAGATGAACACTATGTCAAAGGACGAAAGTGTCTCAGGGGTCGAGAAGAAGACTTCCTCAGTAAAGAAAGCTAATATGGACATCAAGGAGTCACCAGAACTCACTATTAATTTCTTAGATTCTTACAAAAACTTGTGTATGAACGGACAGCTCTTCTTCTCTCAAAAAATCGAAAGTCAGTGGAAGTCCGGCGGCTCCGTCATACTATACCGGGACAGACCTCTCAGCCAAATTTTGACCGAAGAAAAACGAAAAAAATCACAACTGCCTAAAGCTCTTGAAACTATAATTAATCTATTAAAAACTAAAGGAATGGTCGAAGGTGTTTTTCGATTATGTGCAAAAGCGAGTGACGTGGAACAAATTTTGAATACGATGTCAGTCACTGATTTTGAAAATTGTTCAGCTATAGAATTGGCCTCTGTGTTAAAGAGATTTGTGAGAGATATTCCGGGCGGTGTGATTGATGAACAGGTCCAACAAAGTGTTGTCAAAATCTGGGAGATTGAAAGCGTGACAAGAAATGATCGCATCAAACAAGTCGTTTTGTTATTAAACACTTTGCCCGAGGAAAATTATGTTGTTATTAAAGAGGTCTTCAAAATGTTATTGGAAATCCACAAAAACGCAAAGGTGACTTTAATGAATGCCGATAACTTGGCTGTGTGTTGGACCCCCGTCTTGTTTGATCTTCTTGATTTGTTACCTAAAATGAAAGAAGTTACAGAAATAGTGAAGGAATTTGTTCTTAATGCTAACATTATTTAATTTGTTTAATTTATTATAAAATACTAGAGAATTTACTAGTTTATAATAAATTACAATATACTATAGAATTATAATACCCATATCAACTAACTATTACTATATGAAACGTAGTAAAGCCCCATCCCAACTCAAAGCCAAACGAAAGAGAAGTCATTCAAGAGGCTCACAAAGTACTTTAGACTTCTATTTACACGTCTCACCAAGTCCAAGCCAACAAGTCTCTCCTATATCATTCAAAAAGCACCAAGAAGGGTTTCTTATTGAACAGTGGATCGACGAGGAATTGGCAAAAAAACGAATTGAGAAAAACATTTGTTGTCTTGTGCAAGAAGATGCATTTGAAAATGTTATCAAGGACATTTGTGAAGAAAAAAATATCGAATTGTATGTGTATGATTCCACACACGAATTTGCCGATAAAAAGTCGATTGAATTATCACTTTCTGAGACTTCCGTCCAAGAAGTTTCACAAGACACGTTTGGTAAAACAATAGTTAATTATATTAAAGTAAATACACAGGACGATGTGGCTCAAATTGTTCCCCACATCACCCAACGGATCTTTTTCGTTTTGGACTTCTCATTTTTTATTGTTTGTGATTTATCCCTAATCCTCCCAAGAGTTGGGCTTTTTTTGCCCAACAAAACAGACGATTTGTATCTCAGTCAGCTTGTTGCTTCATCGAAAAAAAGTCAAGTCAACTTCGATAAAAAAAAGATGGAAGACTTTCTCCAGATTTTTGCGTTTTGTCAAAACAAGCAACTTTTGGCTTGTCATTTCTTATGGCTTCTCAAAAATGGTTTGTTATAATTATAATACAACTTGTTTTTTAAACTATATAATTATAATAATAATACTATAAATATTAATACAGGAGTGATTAACCGTAAGGAGTGTGTTCACTTGGACTGAAAGCTGAAAATGTCCGACCGAATTTATTAATCAAATTACTCAAAAATGACGAGATCACGATCAGTGAAATAGTTAATTTGTGTGTGAGAGACGAGGCGTTACAAACTCAAGTCATGATGAATGTACTAGTAAATAAACCATTACTAATAGTACAGCGGATTTATGAATCGTTTGTGTTGGCCGACCTTTTAATAGCAATGAGGAAGACCTTTAACACGGGAATTACAAATGAGACGATCGCAATCTATAACGTTGTCGTTCCACTCATCGTATCAGACAAAACGGAAACCACAGAAGTCAGTGAACCACCAATTTGTTCGTATCACAACGAACAAATGACCAAACTCAGTCTTATTGGGGGACAACATACATATTCTCGAAAACAATTTTTACAGTACATCTTCCCGTCGGTGATGGAAGTGTTATTGGAGGCTCGGAGTCTAGACAACACTATCCTCAAATTTTTGAAAAAATTCAATTTGGACCAAAAGACGTGGAAATTTTTAATTCAAAACACAATCTATGCAAAGAAACTGGCTTCAGCTACAAAACTCAGGCAAAAGGATATTTGGGAATGCATCACAAAAGTGTAATTTAGCGAGATTGATTGATTTTCTATTTGTTGTAATAATAAACTATTGTTTAATAGTTTATCTTCAAGACTAAGACTTGTGTTTAAATTTTATTAGTTAAAATAATAAGAATATATAGAATTGGTCACTTAGCGCAGTGGAAGCGCATCTCCCTCCGGAGGAGAAGGCCGTGGGTTCAACCCCCACAGTGACCGTTTTTTCTTTTTAAGAAATATATTTAAAATTTTAACTATTATAATTCTATAATATTTATAAAAAATACTATACCCATACTTATACTATAATTGTTAATAATGTATATAATGTATTAAACAAAACTAAAACGATTAGATCATGAATAGTTATAATAGATCCTCGACTTTATTTGTCTTTCTTATATCAATCAACGCAGCTATGTACTGTAAGACCATATCATCATCCCATCCAGTAGCTCCTTTAGCTTGTCCCACCCATCCCAAATGTCCTCCAGTTTGTGTGAATATTGACATTACATTGTTTGCAGCTCCAACTGCGTTTGTAATTCTTCTTCTACTATTATCGCTCGACAATGCTATAGGGTCGTCTATAGCGTTGATTGACAAGAAAGGGACTTCTACATATTAATAAAAAGAATAGTACAATATAGTATAATATAGTTAAATATAGTTAATTTTTAGTATAATATAGTATAATATAGTTAATTATTAGTTATACTGAATGCCCAAAAGAAACAAACTTGACTTTGGTAATAAAGTATACCACATTTCGATATCTGAGTAATAAGTTTGTACATCGCCATAATGAAAAATTTTAGTATTAAAGAGTCTATCGACGTTGATGATATTTTTTCGAGTACAATTTTGCTGCAAAGGGCCGACGTCGAAATTATTCAGATTTCCTGTAGATATAAGACTGAGGAGGAGTTTCATATTTTTGATAATAATGTGGTGCAA